TTGTTTTGTTTTTTTTCCATCGTCCCCCCTTTCCCCCTCCCTCCCCCCTTCCTTTGGTAAATTAATCAAGCCCTGAGGTCTTGTAATTAGTTTATCTTTTTTTTTTTCCTTTTTTTTTTTTTTTTTAAAGAAAAACCTACTGAAAGAACGAGTACTACCTATAGGGATGCAAAAGCAACAGGAAAAAGTAAAAAAAAAAAAAAAAAACCACAAAAAAAAGAAATAGAAGAAGAAGTTCTATTTTATTAATTTTTTTTGTACGTGTTGTGTTTGCAGTTTGTCTTAGGTATGAACATGGAATTCTCTAATAAAAACAAAGTCTTCGATCTCACCACTGTCAGTATTGTTATCTTTCCCTTCTCCAGGGCAACTCGCCGTGCTGAAGGAGCGCAGAGTTATGAAGAGAGCTTTGCTTCTCTCTTTATGGCACTGCCTTCTAATCTGCAAGGACGAGCAGCTCCGAGCATACGGAAGTTACAGCCGAGAGATAAATCTGCTTTTCCCTCTTTTTGTCTAATCTGAAATGGAGGACCTTTCACCAATAGTATTTCCTCGCTGACATTCTGCTTTACCAGGGCTCTTTTTTATTGTTATAGTACAAAGAGTTATAGTACAAAGAGTTATGACGAAATCCTCTCCATATACATAATAAATCAAGGAAACGGGCAAAAATATGCTCTCATTTATCCACCAAATATACCTAACATTTGCCTAGCATCTTTCAAACATCTGCTCCCTTCCTTCATATCCCCAAATCAAAGTGAAGCGTATGGCAAAAAAAAGTCCAGATTTCAGGGGAATTTTCCCCGTGAAAGCAGCAGCTTTTCGGCTGCAGGAATAGAGCGTTCATTTCAAGGGGGGACAACAAGAAAGGGGGAAAGGAAGGAAGAAATAAACAGGAAAGAAGCGATCTAAACTCAGTCTAACGAGCTCTTTTAACACAGGAGATTTCTTTTATTTTGAAAGAGATTCCGAAGGCCCCTTCTGGGGGTCTGACTGCGCTCGGGATGGGACGGGGAAACGTTTCTGCTCCGTTCCGAAGAGGAATCCTTGACGTTCAAACGGCAAACTTTGATGGGTTTCGGGTTGAAACGAAACAAAACGTGGGGTTTTTTTTCCTATTTTCTTTTCCCTCTCCTCCCCCCTCCCCGGTTCTGTTTTTTTTTTGTTCTGCTGGAGATTTCGGATTAGGAAGGGAACAAACAGAGCGGCCGAACCCGGAGACGATTTTCTGGAGTTTCACGGGGTTGTGGGGGGGCTGGGGGGGCTGAAAGCAATGCAATGGGATCTCCCCGTTCCCATCCCCATCCCCATTCCCTTTCCCATTCCCTTTCCTCACTGCCATAGGAATACCTATGTAGGAACGCATTCCCCCGTGCCACGAGCTGCTTTAATGTCAGTCACTTTTAAAATCAATTCATGCAGAAGCTTCACAGCTGTAGGACATTTACTATTATTGCCACGCTTTTCATTGCCCGTAATTATTATAATTATATGTCACTTTCAATATGGCGCATAATTTCCAATGAGTTGCAGGCAAGCATATGAAATTCCTAAACTGCTTTGGGGGGAAAAAAAAAAAAAGAAAGGAAGAAGGAAAGAAGAAAAGAAGGAAAGAAAGGAAGAAAGGAAGGAAGAAAAAGGAAGAAAAAGGAAGAAAGAAAGGAAAAATGAATGAAAGAAAGGAAAAAGGAATGAAAGAAAGGAAAGAGGAATGAAAGAAAGGAAAGAAAGGAAAGAAAGGAAAGAAGGAAAGAAAGGAAAGAAGGAAAATGACAAGAAAAAGGAAAGTAATGCTTAGCAAAGCACAGCTCTTTCCCATCGCTTTTTGCCACTTCTGAGTGCTTTTGCTCCCCAATATTCCTTGCAGGTTTGCACATGGAAAGGAACAACGTAATACAATGCTGTGTGCAAAGAGGACGGGAAATGCTCGGGAGCAAGAATATCCTAAAAGCAGCTCTGCCACCGTTCCCACCGGCCGGACTTTGCCTCTTTGCTTTTTTTCCCCCTCGTTTTCCCTCTTTTTTCCCCCTTTCTATGGAGGTGCGACCGCCCGACTCGGCGTGCACAAAACTCTCCTTTTCCCACGGAAATAAGCACCCGCGGGCACGCATTGTTCCCTCACCCCCAAAAGGAGAAGAAACCCAAAAGGAATTTAACACAACACCTCCAAACTCCAATCTTACAACGGAAGAAACAGCGAGAAACGCCGCGTTGGCTCAAACATCAACCCGGGCGTGAGGAGCCACGTGGAACCTCAAGCAAAGCGTGGAGCCCCCCGCCATGCAATCCCCCCCCCCGGGGGTGAGGGCACAATGGGGGCGGGGGGGGGGGGGGGGGGGGGGGGGGGGGGGGGGGG